AGCTGCTGCGATCAGTGTGATTTCGTCAGCCATTGTTGCCGGTTTGTGTGGCCCGTTTAGGAGTCTGCATCATGGGCCATACTATTGCAGACATATTGCAACACATGGCCCAGCCATAGATTGTTCGGCCATCAGCTGCATTAAAACATTTTTGTAATGGCCGGGCAATTAGTTGCCAACAGTGCAGCCATCAATTGCAGCAAAACATGGCCCGTTTAGAAGCGCCATAATGCAAAGAAACAAACATGAGCCACGTTTTATTTTAAACGAGAAATCGTCCATTGAAACCTCAAAGTCCTTCACAACTTAGAAAATTCCCAGCTTAAAGTTTTCCGTGGAAGACTTTTTCAGTTTCCTATTTCTTAGAAACGGGATGTTAGTACGAACAGTTGCCGTTGAATTGAAGAAGGATTTAAATCACTGTGCTACGTTCGTCTTTCAAGTGACAAGGGGCGTTGTGTGTACTATATATATGTGCAATCGAATTGTTTTGAACATTTTAATGGTTTTCTTTATTGTGGACAGGCTATAAGTAAAATATTGCCTGGTTGCGTGTGCAATGTGCTTTCAGGTCACATTCATCCAACACATTTGGAGAGCCGTGTTGGCCTAGTGGTGTCAGCGTGCGACTCTCATCCCTGAGGTCATAGATTCGATCCCCGGCCGTACCAATGGACTTTCTGTCCTATGTACGTAGGTACTTAACATTCGCTTGAACTGTGAAGGAAAACATCGCGAGGAGACCGATTTGCCTTAGACCCACAGGGTGGACGGCGTGTGTCAGGCACAGGAAGCCGATCACCTACTTGCCTATTATATTGACAAATGATCATGAAGCATATACAGAAAACAGAGGCCCCAACCTAACAAGTTTGTAGCGCCACTTGACTAGAGTAGAATTATCCAGAAAAACATATTTTTATACTCACCATTTTATCATTTCTAAAACATTAAAAAATCTAACAAATCAAATTTAAACCGGAAGATTGGAAAAACTAGATTGCAGTTTTTCACAAAAGCTCCGAATTACCTCAGCATAACGAATTCGTTATCCTTTGAAGCACCAAGACCTATTAAAATTGCGTTGAGTTTATCTGAATTTCAAAAATCCTTAAGTTCGGAAAGGTAAACCAGAATACATTGTCTCATTAGGTGAAGAAATATGAATATTGTATGGACAATGCCTGGTATACCGAGGCTTGCTTTGCATAATACCTACTTTAGTTCCTACGCTTTTATTACCTTGAGTTTATACCAGTCTACTTAACGTTTGGAATGTGAAAGTGTCCAGCAAATGTAACAAACAAATAGTATCATTTTTATACCTTGAAGCCTCAAAAGCAAGACTTTTTAGTTAATATTTTGCGTATTGTAAAGTATAATCAAGAAAGAAAGTCACTATTTTAACTCTCGCGAACTCTCAAAACTTAGCGATTAAAAAGAGTGGCTTAAAGTTTGTAGCCAGTTCTTCTTGCCCGCTATACGCTCTTGACTTGCAAACTGGTAGTAAATGTAAATTTAGAATCAATTTAACATATTTTCTGACGTTCATAAGTGTACTTGTTTACCTATATGAATAAAATTATTTTGAGTTTGATCTGATTTTTTTTAAAGGCCGGCAACGCAGCCACTAAAACTTGTTTTCGACTCTCCCGTAGGCTCATTTTCCCCACTATGCTAATCGTTATATTACTGCTTTTAATAAAGTCGGAATAGTTTTTTGAGTAGTCTGCGTCAACTGAAACAACAGATTCGTTTTTAGGTCTAGGGCTTAAAGGTACCACTTGGAAATCATTTGATACTAAGTCCATTGTTTCAAAAATCTCTATAACATTGTGTCCTTCCCTGCTACAAACACACTACTAGTACTAACGTACAGTATAACACAATATTTTAGCTTTTATCCATGTAAGTTATGTATTATATATCTAATAATAGTGAAGGAATAAAACAATTCTATAATTTATTTATAATTATTTATTGAAGACGTACAATTAACTTATTAAAGAAATGTTAGATATTTACAGAGTTTAAATATTTTAAGTCAACCGTTAATAAAATTTTAAACTAAATAAATAAATGATTATTTTATTAAAGAGATCTTTATAAGGAACAACACAAACGTCCATCTTGTTTAAAGCATCAATTAATACAACATCTAATTTTATTGTGAGCTTCACTGATTACACACCGCGTTTTGCTACTAAATTTAAATCAATTTTTTTTACTTTGACGTTTTTTCCTGGTCTTGGTTGAAGCTAATATAAATACAAAGGTGATGTCAAGCCTACCTAAAGGATGTCCATCCACTCTTCCCTTAAACAACGCCATGTTGTATTTATGGCGTAGTGGTGCTACGATTTCCGTAGCGATTATCGTTGTCATACTACGCACGGTATGACAACAAATGATAAACGACGACGATTACGAGTATTACATTATGACGTAAAACAGAAGTGGCAATGGGCGGGGCATAAAGCAAGATACACAGATAAAAGGCGGACTTTAAAGACAACTATATGGAAAGGACCATAGGGAAGAAGAAAAGGGCGCCCCAAAAATGGTGGACAGAAGAAATAGAAGCGGTAGCAGGTAGCGAATGGAGAAAAAAAGCCACGGACAGAGTCAGTTGAAAAAAGCTGGAGGCTTTTACCCGTGAAGGGGTTCTGGCCGACGGTACTGAAGGTAGCTAGGGTATGGCATATATAGGCTAACAAGATAAAAATAATGTATAAAATGTAAAAATCTAAGCTATTTACTATTTTTTTGTCATGATTGGAAATTAAACCGGCTTTCTATTACGGTACTTACTAAGCACGGTTTCTTGAACAAAATGGCTTTATAATTACCTTTATTTTACGTAATAAAAAAAATTAATTAAACCACTTTTATTAATGTTAAAAAGAACTACTTTTTACTGTATGATCAATTACACCTCTCTGTTCCCACGCGAACCTAGTCAGGAGCAATATATAGTATATTGTTCGGCATATATATGTTAATACTTTAGACAGATAGTCGCCTGTGCTCTCAATAACATTTAAATTAGTATAAAATTATTGCCCTAATAAGAACAAACTACGTTCAATACGTGCACAACATTCAACAGTGAATAAATTATATCTATCGGTAACTATTGAATTATCTTAACCCAAGTTAACTTTTATACTTAACTAATAACATGATAAATTAGTATTTTAACCTACAAACTTAACCGACATTAATTTGATATGCTTGATATTCTTGTGCGGAACATTTTTCTGGAACAATGTGTTACGGAATTTAAAATTATATTTTTTTTAAATTAAAAGCATTTTTTTTTTAATTTCCCCTTGATAGATGACAAGTATTTATTGAATGTTAAATTTATATTATCTTTAAAGGTATTCCAGTAAAACGTCCCTACATAGTGATCAACACTCTTTAATTCTAACTAGGACTATTAAAAGACATAATCACAATGTATCGTATCTTTCGTGCTTTATTTGTAGAATTAAAATTATACAAATATTCGTTGATCGTGAAGTTTGGATGAAGCGTATTATCTAAAAAAACTGTATTCAAAATTCGAGTGCTCGATCTTAATTATATTCATTTATTTACTCGACGACGTATACAATTATACAAAGAAAAGAGGTAAAAGGTTTTATATTTTATATATAGGGTTATAATCTGTCGAGCGTTAATAGACAAAAAGCATTGCATATATGTGCCGTCAAATTGAAAGTTTCCCGGGATAAAACAACAACGAAAAAGTGAATATAATTTCACCACATTCAGACATACATAAAATAAATCAATATACTAAAAAGTAAGCCTAATTAAGCGTCCCTTTATGTAATTACTTTTATATCAAGATACTTTTAAAGTTCTTAAATTCCTATCGCTGACAAAATTGCAAGAGAAATGGAAAGTTGCGGCAACTTTGGTATTATTGATTTATTCAACGTCGAGCAAATAAATGAAATAGGTACGTAGCTTTGTGTCATGATCTCGGGATCTTCTCGCATTACTTATGGACATTTAATGCTAAATAGGCATTACTTTAGACTTAACTAACTCTTCAGTCTTGGACGTTACACTTAAATAGAAATACTCTAAAACCCGCGTCGAACAATCCGTCAAAATTTAAAATTAGTGATCTAAGCATTATCGCGTTTTATCACATCGTTAATATGATAGCGTATAGACACTGATATTTCTCAAGAAACGTCTAATTTTTGTAATATAGTTATCATAAAGTTCGCTATGAAACGGACAAACTTCTAAAACTGTAGGAAAATGACTAAAACCACATTAAGATTTAAAATACGCACGAGCGACGACATCTAAAGAGAAAGCGAAATGTACATTTATCTTAAAATTTAAAAGAACATGTAAAATCTGTAAATCTAAACGTTGTATAAGGGCTGCACTTATATATAAAAATATATTGCTCAGGGTTTCAGTGGGTACGGCTTACAAATCACTATTTAATCCTATATATCTGTATAAAACACTAAAGGAACTAAGGCTAAAGAACTAAATTCTAAAATTTTGCTCCCATAACAGATTTATAAACAAAAGAACAGCCAACTTCACGCTAATAAGCTACTTTATGCTAAAATGTATATATAAACGTTTTAAAAATTTCCTTAACTAGTGATATGAATTAGTTACATTGATATGTATGTTGTTCACAGGTAAGACAGTATTGGATGTGCCATTATGCTGCAGTACCAGGAACAAAGGTCCAACATATTAAAAGAGTCTATATTATATCGCTTTTCGCTTTTTTATAATCATGAATATCCGCCTTCTATATATCATAGATATACATGTGTGTAGATTACATAGACAAAACTATGACAGGTATCAACAAATACTAATATTAAAAATAAAATGACAATAAAACCTTCTTAAGCATATTACAGCATGTAATAGACACTTAAATGTCTGGACAATTGACTCGCATGTAAATGCAGCATACAGGCACTTCCATCTTAAAATATTTACTAAAATTAATCTTCGGGCCATCCCAGATCTTCGCCCACGAGGTCATAAAACCTTTGATTATGTTGAACGAAGAATTTTCGAAGCTTCGTGACAACAGCTGGGTCCACCCTTGGGTGCTTTCTGCCCTTTGTCTCACGAAGGCATTTGTCCGTCGTATCATTTCGTAGGCAGTAGAACCCTTTTGTTTCGTTAAAATAGAAGTTTTTTCTACCTGTTGAAGACGAAGCTTAATAGAAACTATAAAAACTCATAAGAAATTCTGAATTTATTTACATTCCTGATCGAGTAAAGTCGGTTTCTATATAAAATACTTGAAATGGCAGAGTATTAATTATATTCAAGGTCCATTGATATAATTAATCGAATTAAACGGGATACTACTTTGATTACTTACGACTTACTTTTCAAACTATTATTAAAATTCGTCATTTTTGAGCAGCACTTTGCCATAATAAAACCTTGGCAAATACAATAAAAATAATTGGGATTAAATATTGACATACCTATTTTATGCTCAAGGCCCAAGAATTTTTCGATCCGTCGAAGTTGAGGTACAGGATCTTCAATCAGCTGATCGCCATTCACAACCAAGATTTGCTCACGAGGGAATACCTCCAGCCATCGGTGTAAGTACGCGTGGTAAAGAGATATTGCAATGGGCCTAAAACAATAAATATGTTTACTACAGAAACTGTTTTAAACAAGGAAAATATTTGACTTGGGTACTTAAGACACGACAAGGCAAATTATGACAATTACAAATACCACAAAGTATCTCATAAGGAGACCTTCACTTCCTATAATCCAGACATAGATATTAGATAGCTCTCTTGTTTTTCTAACAACCTTTACGACTTTGAAAACTTTCAGCGAAGAGCGTACCACAACCGACCGGCAACGCATTTGCAAACATGGGCGGCAGTAAGCACCTAACCAAGTGTAATTAAGTAAGCCCATATCCAATCCCTCACAAACCAAATATATATATCAAACCTAATGTATTATAATATTATCTTGTGCAAGCCTATTTTTATAAATTTAATCAATAAATCAGCCTCAATTACCTACTTATTTTGACATTTATTCAGTCGTCTGTTACGTGTGTTAATGACTTTTTAAAGCTAAATTAAAGGTTTAACTACGCACTGTTATGTCTCCTTTCATCACAGCGAAAATTCAATATACAATATTTGTACCTTTGTATGGAATAAACTCAAAATCTACACCATACTTAGAATCGATCTATAGATCAGAAGAAGAATAGATCTCTGAGTAAAGGCTATAAATGTCCAGGCATGCGAAGCTGGGAGAGGCCTCTAATTTAGTTTAAAAAAACACCGAAATGCCGAAAGCTAAAATTACGTCAGGATTAGAACGGATGAGTATTTCAACCTTACGATGGAATCAAACGCCCATATTTCTCTTTTAGGAGTTAACCATACCAAAGCACGCGAGCGCGAAACTTCGCGTATCATCTTGACAGCTAAATTACAAATGGCTGTCAATAAACGAACCTCCAAAGTTATCAACATATGCAAAGTTTCACAAATAAAATCTTTTTCGATGTATTTCCATAGAAAATTACAAATTTAGTTGTAGGTATGAGGGTAAAGCACCGTAATTATTAATCTACCGTTAAAGTTAATTAGAAGATTCCAAGAGCGACCATAAGTTACTATACCTGTAAGCAACATTAATAGCTCCATCCGGTGTTATAGCGAGATGCTCGAATGGTTTCGCGGCGTCCGGTAGAGGATGGCCCGGAGAGAATAAGGCTGGCGCAGAAGGCGTCGCGCGACTTCGCAGTTGAGTGTAATCAGATATTGCCCGAGTGACTGGCTCTCGGACTATCAGTAAGAGACGTACGGATGAGTTCATCGCTCGAACGCGCTCTGGGACCTATCGAGTTAAAACTAATTTAATATAATGTATAATTGGAGATCGAAAATGTAGGTATGTCCGTAATATTAACCATAAATTTTCATTGATCTTAGTTGTCACATTATCTATATTCTCCATAAACAATACCAATAAACAATATATATCAATAACAATTAAAATAACACTCTTTTGTTTATGCCAACGGAAATGTGTCTTAACTATAAAGAGAAATATACTCAAACTCAGAATAACTTTATTCATATAGGCAAACAACTACACTTATGAACGTCAACAGAAAAGATGTTAAATTGATTCTAAATTTACATTTACTACCAGTTCGCATGTCAAGGGCGTAGATCGGGCAAGAAGAACTGGCAAGAAACTCTCCGCCACTCTTTTTAATCGCCATGTTTTGAGTCTTTGCCCCATGTTGTAATTAATAATAAAGAATATTAAATTAATATATCAAATACTTCATTAACGTAACCTGAACCTGAAATTGCTATTGAATGTTTTGTCCTTCTCACTCTCATGTCACTTTGCTTATAAACAAACGGCAAACAAGGTACTAGGGACAAATTATATAATTTAAATGTTTACCTCCGGAGTAACAAAATAGCTCGGGCTTTTTTCAATCGTTATCTGTCCCTTGAAGGACAGAGGCATCTTACTCCTGTACCATTCGAGACCCAGAGCGTAATTCTCGTCACGATCGAAGAAATGTACCTCCCCTGAAGCTTTCTGCACCATCGGATGGAGGTAAAGCATTTCAAGTAATGCACGCGTTCCGCATTTGCGCACTCCGATAATAAGGGCCTATAACATACTTCTATATATGTAAAAAGTAAACAGAAAGTAGATTAACAAGTTAATAGATTTAACTAGATTTATTTTAATTTTTTCAAGGAGAAGGTAATTAGATTTTTAAAGTCATAATAATTAATATGACATTTGCATGCATTATTTTTATATACCTGATTGTGCAGTTTATAGTTAACCAATCTAAATGCAGGACCTTCTTTGCAAATAAACGATTTATTATTATTATATAAGAAATCATAAATAAAACGCATACCAACAATAACAATGAATATTTCAAAGAAGGTTTCTTAACAAGGCAATTTAAAAGTTATAATTTGAGTAAATAAAATAGATGAATGCGTTAGAAGTAGGCGTTAAAAAGTCGTAGTAAATTAACATTTCGCTCTTACAATTCCTTGAATAATAAAGAACTTTCATGAAATTAGGACTTTTGGCATTTAAACTTTCTCGCTAGAAGTCGTTTAATAAACATTAGACTCTGAACTTTAAGGCATTTAAATCGTGGCAAATTCATTTATATAGCTTTATTCACGACTACTTGATATCCGCCTCCATCTTTAACTACACAGCATTTTTCTAGGGCATACAGACACATTTCTGCGTCCGTTAACTTGATTTTTGAAGCAGGGCTCTATAGCCAAGAGTTAACAGTTGTTTCATTATATTTATGTATAGATGAAAATAATAGCAGTCTATAATCAAAAAATATTGTTCAAAGAATTGAACCAATAGCGTAGCTGTCAATCAATAATTTACATTTACTCTATCTTACTTACATTTATCTAAATCGGCTTAGAAAGATTAATACGATGAGAACTGAACACTAAAATATTCTTAGAAGTATGTGTCATCCGGACGAGATATTACAATTTGTTTAGACGTTTGTCTGCTAAGTTTACCTGGGGTAGTCTACGAACGGGTCGAGGCGCCCGCGGAATTTTCAACCGTTTCCTTAAAGCCATAGGATGGCTTATTGTCCGACTGCTCTCTTGATTTTGTAATATTTTTCGACCTTCGCTGGCGGCTGAAGCAATACTTGCGGCCTGCAAAACTTGATATCTATAATATACACCTTAGTAGCTCAATTGGTCGTGCTTCTGTATATAGTTAATTGGATACAAAAATTTAAAATTGCAATTTTGCTTTGTATAATTGTATACTAAATTAAAAATTGTGTGGCAAGCGATGTTAAATGAAGCACACAAATAATTATTTATAATATAAATAAAAAGCTGAAATAAATTAACTTACTTTTTTGTAAAGACTTTTAAAAAGTTTATAATTTATTTATTAACACTTCGTTGCAAGTATACAGAAATACAGTACAATTAAAATAATTAAATAAAAAGGAGGGCTGGCGAACTTATTAGAGAGAAAACACTCGAAAGTGCTATCTTCCAGGCAAATATTGTAAGAAAATAAAATAAGGTGAGTGCAAGTAGAGCAAAACTACATACGACATAAAGTTACTTAGGCAAAACTGATGGAACAAAACAAAGCAATTAAAACATATGTAAACAGTGAAAGAGACAAAAATAAAAAAAAACGCATGAATCACGATAATTTCAAATTAATTAATGCTTGTAGTAAAGTAACCCGTCATATTTAAAGCTTGCTAAACAAAAAAGCTCAAAATTACATACTACAGTGGCTAACAAATGTATGTGAAAGAATAACGTTAAAGTTAAAACTAAAAAACTTTAGTAGTTTCATTAATTTTTCATAGTTATTGCAAGAAGTTTAACCAAGTGGAAACGAGTTATTTGTACCTCGTACGTGGATAAAAGTTGAGTGTGCAAAACTTTCGAGGAATCTTAGAAGTCGTGCCAACCCAGGAATGTTACCTATACTTCACGAGGCTAATAAGCTTCTGAACTGACCTACTTTTACCTTTGCTATTTTTTATTTTATTATGTTTTAATTGTGTAAAAATAAGTTGCGTAGACTACTCGTACTTTTTAGTTTTGCGAACGGATGGCGTAGTCTTGCTCTTTCGTGAATTTTGTAAACGTTGTTGACATTCATAAGCATGCTCTAAGAAGCATCTAAATTGAATAAACGTATTTTGATTAATTTTGATTTTGAACAAGTGACTATATACTGTACGTATACACATAATATCGTTTATATACAAATAAATAACATTATTATTTATTTACCAACTCCGTAGATATGCTGAGCTACGATGGTACGAGATTTGATCTCTGATTGAATGATACATATTTGGAACGTAAAGTGTTTGTTACCAAATTATTAGTGGTCCCATTGCGGGATAAACATACTTTAAAAATATTTCAACGCATAGTATTTGTTGTATTTAAAATACACTTGCTAGTTCTACTTACCTAAATTGATATGAAGTGAATGCGTCCTAATTTAAAAATGGAACGAAAAAAGAATAGGCTAAGATAAAAATCCTTGTGGCAGGTCAGCTTTTCTTTCGATTGAGGCTTTGTGCCGGGAACTTTCAGTAGGCACTACTCGCCCACTCCGCAAATGTGTCGAGACTTAAGAGTCCTTGTGAAAGCTAACCAGTATAATTGAAAGGGATTCTACGTGTGTTCTGATTCGTGACACACAAAAGAGTATTAAGTAATGAATTATTGACGATGTTGTTTAGAGTTGTATTGTTTTACAGTATTTAGAGAAATAAATGTCTTGTTTTTAAACTATTGCATAGATTTTATCGCGGGCGTTGATTGCGGCGACCGAATCAAGAAATTCCGTAACGAAAATAAAAACCTGACGTAATATAGGTGCGGCCAATACGCGTTAGAGCGAGACAGAACGCATATTGCGTATTCACACTCTCTGACGAGATCGGTGACGTAGCGTAAGCGCGGCCGGTGCAGCCGTTACGCGTTGGAGTGAGACAGACTATTTAGTCTGGTAGAGTGGTAGATTAAATTAATATCAAAGAAAAAACTTGAATCAATATAAAAGATAAAAAAATTCTGCATGAATAAATAATTATAATTGCATAAGTTGATAAGAAATAGCTTTACCGAGGCAGTCCCGAGTTCTACACGTTATTTTTCAAATATCAGGATGTTTTACTAGTTCGTCGCGTACCTACGTACGCGCATGTTTTGTTTTTTTTTAAATCACAATTAAATATATTCTTTCATTTCTAAGGAATAAAACTTACGTGAAAGTGAAAAAAAGTCTTAACCAACGGATTATTTTGATGGACGGGATAGATTAAAGTTGAGTTTCATCGATCGATTAATGCCAGAAAAGTTTTGTATCTCATTACAATTAAATGGAGAAAACAAAACATTCTCCAACTAACTGAAGCTGTTCTGTATTGTACATTATTGGTCCGTTATCCTTTGGCGTCACGAAGTTAATAATTGCTAAATTTACCAAATTTGTTTACCAGATTAAATGTGGAAATATATATCAAAATTCCAAAATTCAAAATCATTTAGTCATATAGAAAGAGAGTGCTTATGCTTATATGTTATGCTTCATTATATAATATAGTCGATATATATGTATTCATTTCAGCAATAGAAATATACGACATCAAATTCCAATAAAGAATAGACGATTCTGAATAAGCTGAAACACAATTTGCATATAAAAAGTTTTCTATCGAATTGTACGCATAGCCAAAGATTTATTACCGTACTTCTGTATCGCTGTATTACAATATATCGTAAACTTTACTATATCTTCAACCGAGAGGCTATAAACTTATACGAGATTTCTACTTCTTTAGATTAAAATCTAATTCAAAGATTACTTTTGTTTTTTAACTCCCATTGACAGACACATTTTTGTGATTATTACTTTTTTGTTTATAGTATAGGGGGGCAAACCAGCCTATGTGACACCCAAAAAGGGTGGTCATCGTAGCCCATGGGCACCCATTTTAGTGGGAGCGTTGCCGGCCTTTGAGGGAGGAGTATATTCTTTATACAATTGGAAGTCGTATCTCCCAGAGAACACTTCATCGGGAGTCGATTCCACAGATTGCTAGTTCGCAAAGGAAAGTGTTTTGTGAAGCGGACCGTGGAAGACTTCCTGCTAGCCTAGATGATGCTGCCTATACATATAAGTAAGTCTCTTTCTCATTCTTTTCGTGTCTAATAAGTGTGTAAGTCTAAGTGTGAAAACGTCAAACGATTACTACACTACACTATCGTTAATTTAACAAGTACATCGCCCGTTAAGTTAATCAGAGTGTATTGTATTAATCTCTGCAGTTTAATTACGAAAAGAAATTAATAGGTACCATTACATAGCAACGTGCACTGATACCTTCATTAAAGCAGATCGTTTAAAATTTTACTATCCATAAAATTATTTATCGTTTACTTTATAGACTTATCATTTTAAGTTTTGATTCTTGCAAGTGAGAGTTCAATGACTCTAATATAATGGTGGTACTATTAGTGTATGTAAAATTTAAAAATGCATGCACTTTGTTAAGCATTACTAATATAGCATCTGAGACTGAATTTATACTAAGCCATTTAAGGAAATATGGATCAATGTCTAAAATAACTATTATGTTGGAAGTCTTCTACTATCATCGAAAAGACCAGTTAACAGTCAACGCAGGCCTTGCGTATGAATAGAAATAGATGCAGAAATCTGACGGCAAGACTTTCAAAGGGCTGTAGCATATGTATACAAACTGGATAAGCGATACTGAATTACAGAAATTAACTTACCTGAATACTATACAGTGCACTGTCATATAATACGTGGAATGTGAGAAAGAGAGAAAGCAGAGTGACGGATAGGAGGGCCGCGGCTAACTTCGGCCGCGACACTCCCACCACAAGAACACAGTCCGCCAGATCGCCGTCTGCTGGTCGAAACGCCGAACGAGGTAACCATCTGAAATCGAGCCTGATTAATCTGTTGCTACGAACTACGAGCATAACTTATTACTTGCAAACTGTAACTCTCCATAGCGATCCTGACTTCACTCTCAGGTCACTCTCAGGTGAGGTCGTAGGTTCGATCCCCAGATATGCAAAATTGACTATCTTTCCATGTTCTTAACATTCGCTCGATCGGCTCGCCTTAGACCCAAAAAGTTGACGGCATGTGTCAGGCACAGGAGGCTGATGACCTTAATTATGCGTCATTAGCGCTAAGAATATTGGAACAATCATATGCAAAATAATTAATATTTCTTCCTGCTAAATGTAATTCCGAATGCATTAACAAAAGGTAAGAGTGAATTGTCAATAATTATTTAACGATGCAAGATTCTGTCATATTTTTATTACGAATCTGCTACGTCGTAGATCTTAGCTATAGTTTTTGTATCATGACCACATTTTTCTACATTTTTTAAACTTATAGATTATATTTAATTAAATAAAGCTTGTAATTAACAAGAGTTAATGATACATATTGTTGAAAATTCAAGCCACAGTCAATAATTATCACGAGTATAAGATTACCATGTTATAATAATTTTCATATAATATATGATAATTTTATTGAAAATGGATATTAAATAGACGATTTTCACAATGTAAGTACAGTGCCTATTAGATGAAGATAAAATATCTACTTAAACTATTATTTCTGAACATACTATTATAATAAATGTATAAAAATTAGAATGATAATATATAAAATAATATCATATGGAAATATAATATATGTGCATGAAAAAATGAGTCAACAATTTTAATAATTTATCATCATGGTTATTTATAGAAATAAATACATATACTCACAGAATATCAAGCGGGAGTGACTGCGAACAGCTTTTATAGTCAGCGCGGTATTTGGTAGGCAGGGCCTGGCTTACGTGCCCACGCGACTCCATGGAACCTCCATTTATCATACTCCTTACGTTTCTACATCCTCCTCCCTTATACCTACGTTATCTTCATTGTATCTGAAAGAGAACTATTCTAAGATAAGCTTACAGTGATGTATGATATCGTGTAAATTATAAATAATTTTTTTTATAAAATATTGGTTACAGTAATTAAACTCAAGGTCGCATCGCAACGTTTCCCCCTTTTTTGGCAAGGTCTCCCCCTCCTTCCTCCATGTCGCTTTCCGATCCACCCACTTCCGGCAATTTCCTTCACCACATCTTCCCACCTTTTGTATTGTCGCCCTTTTTTCCTTGCTAAATTCTTAGTTCGGGTTTCTTCTCGATATAATCCATAGCCTTTCAGCAGATTTCTAGTCTTTTAATAAAAACCTTGGTGAGTGTCCAGGTCTGGCATCAGTTTGTTCGGGTAGTTTGAACGAGTCCAATAGTTACTTCAAATTTCCTTCTAATTACACTCTCTATCTATTTTCTGCCCATTTTTAGGTCATTTTCATGTAAGATAGTAGATTACCGTAGTACTAGCACTTCTGTGCATACTCAATCAATCAATCTGTCGTTTAGTATAATTAGGAGTTGTTCACAATTTGTAATTTATCTGGTTATATCAACTTTATGAATAGCCCCGCAACAATTTCTGCAGTCCTGGTTGGGCTCCTCCGAAAAGAATAAGATGGTGTCGTTAGCGAGCCTTAGATTTGATATTTTTTATCTGTTTCTTTCTATCTCTCTCTAGGCCAAAGCTTTCCCAATGAAGTTGCTTGAAGAGTAACTGCCTGACCAACAGAGTAACTAACTGGTTTGGCCGACAACGGATATCCTTGCCAAAACCCTGTTTTATTCTTTATAAATTCTAGTTCAGTTTCGACTTTCACTCTTTCTTTGCTCTTTTAGTTTTTCTCCTGTCCTTACTATTTTACAGTTGGTAGCTGCTTTGTAGGTGGTAACCCCGATTTGTATTTAGCAACCCTGTTTTAGACGTGGCAGCCCCGATTTGTCATTTCCGGTTACTTAATTCGCTGTTAACGTTTAGCTGTCACTAATGAATGTCAACAATTGTGAACTTGGAAATCTAACCTTGATATTCTAGAATGTTGTGATGATCTTATTGATTTGTCTTGTTTTTTTTACCGTATAACAAATGCTGATGCTTTTTTGTCCCTTTAATTGATGTATATGTTTTGTAGCGGTCTATATGTTCCTTCAATTTTAATTATTTACTTTATACAGAAACTTTATATATCGTGTCTTAAATGAAATATATTTTGGAACTCACAGTCTGTATGTTTAATATGTGATATATTTATGAATGTTTTATATTACGCCAATATTAATATTTATTTTATCACTATTAAGTTTATTGCTTGAGTTTTAATTTTTGTTTTGCATAATTTGTTTTTACTAAAGTAAATGATTATTTTGTCTTGATGTGAAACGTCAAGGTTCACATTCTATATTAAACACTGCCTGAATAAAAAGGCGAAAATTTACTAAATATCATATGTCCTAAATTTCGTTATTAAGGGTCTGTTTATCCTACCAATAAGTAATAAATAGCTAATTTGGAACTTGTGTAGAACTTATCCATACATTGTGAAACAGACCCTAAGAATAGACACACTGCTTTTTTTATTTTATATAACAAACTACTTTCGACACATTGGTCATAAACTACTAGAGAGATACGAGAATACTGTTGTAGTATTATAATTATATTTAAGACATATAAACAGTAAAACAGACATGACAGTGTTTACCTCAGAGCCTCAGGTTTTTTGGCGAAATTTACCAAATTGATACACCACAAAATGCACGAAAACTTAATATAAATAAGTCGCATCCTAACAAAACGCATTTAATCTCTTTCCTGTGTTGTTTATGAAACAGAATAATATATTAATGTGCGAACGCCTGGTTTATTATGAATAATATAACAAGGACTGGCTCGCGTCCAATTATGCTCATTCGGTTCCGGCAATTCTTTACTAATAAATTGAGCCTTTGAAACAAATTGCTTTGAAAATATTTTCAAACACTCTAAGCAATTTAAATTCATATTTGGATGTACTTTAATTTAGGGTGAATATCTAGTATGGCTGAATACAAGTATTACGTTTGCTATCGATTTGTTAATGAAATATTAAATATGCATTATTCGCATGTCGGTTTCCTTACAATGTTTTCCTTCACCGTACGAGCAAAATTAAATGTTAAATGCGCACATAGAAAGTCCATTGGTGCACAACCGGGGCTCGAACCTACGACCTCAGGGATGAGAGTCGCCCGCTGAAGCTAGCAAGGCTAACACTGCAATAGTATTTTCATAGTCATTATTATTAATGTCGGAGCAATAGCGTTAGTGTCAGCTGCCATTGTCATTATAATTTAATAACATCAATGTCAAATTACTTCAAAGCCTACTACTAGTGGTTTATTTGAATTGTCAATGTTGCTAGATTCAATGGTCGATAATAATGACTCCATAGTCATTATTGTTAAATTTTAAACCTTTGAAATTAAACGACAATCAATATTAAAGTATGTAATCTTGACACTCGTTCTTACGACTGCCGTTTGCCTCTGTAGTCGATTCGAGTTTTGCCGCGGAACGAATACACGTAATCAACGAGTCAGCATTTCTGACGCATTATCTTCAATAATAGATCTGCAGGTCCTGTTTTTGTTAAAATTGAGGTCGGGCTTTTAAGTCATTGTTTAGGTTGTCGTTTGTTGCTTTGTCAACAATTGGTCCCTGTCTGTGGCTTCCTGTCGTTAGAAAATTCGTGCATCATTATGTAGGTGCTGCCATCGTTCGTTGTTCCTGTGACTCCTCGCTAATTCATTCCTCCATCTCACTCCATATATATATACAATACTATAACTATCATTACGAAAATAAATTGAAAATTTTTCAATATCTGTTTGGTACTAAAAATAGAAAAGTATATAAAGTTTTGAGAACTGGTAATAAATGTACAAGACGTGAAGAAAATTACATACCATATTCCACAGCGCACCTCGCTCTACCTGCAATGACAGAAAATGTTTTAGAGGAAACGGAAATGAGAAACGTATATCTAAAGGTTACTTGTTTTAATATTAACATTATGTGGCACATTAGAGCCATGGTTATTCGACGTGAGACATTACTTAGTTTATGTCCGTCATAATTGTACACATAATTCGTTAGCTTTATAATATTAGTATTAAAAATCACAGCGAAATACATGCCTAAAAAATAAATTAGACGCATATTTTTGTAGTCACTTGATTTAATTTAGATGTCTAATTCGTTTTGAATTTATATATTAGAAACAATTTTTTCAATTCAATATGACTTATACTCACATACAACTTCATTCTTAATAGAAAATCAATTTCGTTGCGACATCGTCTATCTCGTAATCTTTTAGGTAGACAAACCTGTCTAGGATTTTGTTCAAAATAGCCTCGCCTATTTCTCGTCATTTCTATATTATATATGGCTTTGTTTTGTTTCTATTATCGATTCTTTTTACCACTTCCATTGCAAATAAAATGGCGCTACAATCCTATATGAGGATCAGATTAAATATACATATTTCTTTTCTTTTTTTTAATTTTTTTAATTTTATAAATTGTCGGTTTGATGTCTTAACGTCAACGTTGTTTTTCAACGATTTTTGCCTTCTTATGAATAAGTGTGAAATCCGCACATTAATGATTAATCCATCCTACCGTCATTTAAAGACACAACATCGGGGTTGAAATTCAAACGCTTTAAGGTGGGAACTGACCAAAGTTACGAGGTGTAATGTATCATTCGCATCGAGCCACATCGAGCATGTTACGCTGTGTTCTAAAATCGGCGTAACATGCTCGTCAAAACTCTGTGCTCCGCTTTCGCCGCCAGTGTTCGCGAGATGGCCGACAGCGAGGACGTGTTGATATCTTTCATTCTATTTCATTATTGTTTCATCCAAATTAAGAAGAAGAAAAAGAAAAAATCTTACTGGACATCAAACTTATTTAAAAATACAGGCTTATGAGGTGGTTTGTTATTGATTGCAATATTAAAAAACCAAATGATTACTGGACAGTATAAAAACTTTGTACGCATGTCTCGATTTTTAAGAACTGTTGTTGGTCCAATTAAGGACCAAAAGTACTTAAAAAATACATAACTTATAGAAAATCATAATCATGATCACTCGCGACGCTTCGTAGCGTACTGACTGAACCGCGTAACAGTCAAAGGATTCGCCAAAAAACCGACAGCCGGGTGGAGCACTCAAAGCGAGCAACGAGCGGCTCGTTGCTCGCTGATTTCCCCGTAAAATGACGTACTGACTGCTCGAAAACGGGAAATGGCAGTGCTCGAATGCTCGCTGTGTAACGTGTTACATTACACCTCGTAACTTTGGTCAGTTCCCACCTTTAGGTAGCTAGCATTGCTCCAAAGAGCTTCATGGTAAATGCAGACTTCTATCGTTATTATTTTTATACCACAACCAAAATATTATGTAACAGTAGGCAAACGGGCAGGAGGCTCATCTGATGTTAAGTGATACCGCCGCCGCTGAATTTCAGCTGCAGGTCGGTCCGGTAGTATAAATAATACGAATTTCTGATTTTGAAAAGTAGTCATACAACAGTCCTGATTTAATTAAGTAATTCGTAAAATACCTTTAACATGCGCCATAATTAATTAGAATAAAGTATGAATTTCTTTTAATCTCCAACTATAGCACAACATAAAAGCATTACGGCATTATTCAAGTGGGTTTTGTTAGTGGTAATTGCGTAATGAGTTGCGAATTTCCCTCCACCTATTTAGCTTTATTATTCTCACGTCCTACGTAAATATAAATTCGTTATCCTAATATTTCAAACTCATTTACGTGTTCATTTGGCGACCATTGCTGAATTATAAAATATCTATAAATGTGTAGAAATAATCCTATTTATCATTTTTGTGATACAAACAGTTCTGTATCATTTTAATCACTGAATGTTCCATTTTA